ATGAAAATAATTAAAACAAATAGAATAGTAAATCAGAGTTTAAAACTCTAATTTTGTGGAAATAATATGGTTCTCTACCTGTAACTTTTTTTTTTTTTTTTTTAAATAAACCTATTCGCAAACAGACTTATGGAATTTCTATGGGTTCCATTTGTAAAGTTATAGCCAAAAATGAAAAGCAATATTTTTAGTTAATTAGCGTGTTGTTAAAGGAAAATAAGGGGTTCCTTTTTACACTGTATGATTCATACATTTATAAAAATCCAAGTTCCAAACTAAATATTTAAATTGTCAGTTGAAAATTTTGTCAACAAGCTAAATTTAGCTTAAAACTAAACATTTATTTTGCAAATTAAATATTTTTTACAAACTATTACACGATATTGAATTTGCACACTAAATATTTTGCTCCAAACTTAATATTTAAAAAACAATTTATTTCAAAACTAAATATTTGGCAAAGTATTTTTTTTTAAATAAATATCTAGTTAAAATGATAAATCTCTGAATATTTAGTTCGTGTACCCCACCTCTCGCCCAATGACTGCTGGGGATAAGCACCAGCACCCCTCGCAACCTCACTCGGGATAAGCGTGTTAGAAAATGGATGGAAGGATAAATATTTAGTTTTAAACTTTGATTTTTATAAATGAATGGATGACAGTGAAAAAATAATCCCCTTATTTTTCTCTTACATGGTAAATAACCAAAAATCTTGCTCTTTTTGACTGTGTAACTTTACAAACAGCAACTCATAAGTTACAGCTTCCAGTTGAATTTCTATTAGAGATCCATGTTTGTTTAAATCTAATAAATATAAAACACCCAAATCACTTCTGATTCAGTTTCCTTACGGATTTCTGGGAATTTTTCAAAGAACAGATAAAAGTTCAGTTCACAAGCAGGCTTTCTTTGGCCTTCCCTTATTTCTGAATTGAAAGATATGAATATTTTATTAATCAACTTCTCCATACTATAAGCAGATGCAATTTCAACTTAATTTCCAGTAGGTAATATATCATTCAAGGGCTCATCTAATTGGTCAAATGCCAAAATAAGATGTACAGCAGTATCTTTGCTGAATGGCTGGATATAGATCTTGTGCTTCTAGACCTCACTGAGACAGTAGTCTAAACATCCGAGTAACACGTATTTAGTACCGCTGAGCTGAAAACCTGTAAAAATACTTTTTGGTCTATAATAGTACTTAACTAAATGAGGCAGAAGACTGATTTCATAACAAGGTGCCAGTATGATTATATCAGAGGTTTTTGTGGAGAGAGGAACTAAAGTTGCAATAAACACACAAGAGACTCAGTCCGGTTTTAAAAACTCTCAGTAACTCTATTTCTGTATTAATGTACAACCATTGAAAATTACAGCATTTTTTTTATTATTTTTTTCTTTTTTCCATTTTTTTAAATGATCTAACTATCAACAGCCATTTTTCAGAGGTGAGCATCATGAGCTGAAGGAAAACAGAAAACAGAGCAAAAAAAAAAAAAGAAACTCTGGGATGATAGTAAAGGAAGAAGAGAGCATGAGATGGGAGGGAAAACAAATGTTTTTTGTAATGAAGCGTTGGAGTGTGCACACCATCTGAATGTCGGTGGGAGGAGCTGTAGTACTTGATTATGACAAGAGATTAGATCGGTGGAGGTACCTTTAAGAAAGGAGGTTAGATCTTATTCCATCTTCTTAATTTGTGAACATATTTAGGTCATTATTTCAGTATCAGAATTATAATTCTGTATTATTAGGTCATTTGTTTCAGTCATGCTGCGACACCAAATAACAGTAAAAGTTGAAAGAAGAAAAAAAAAAAAATGGTGTCATAATTGTAAAGTAGCTGCCTTTCAAATCCCAACATGTTCCTAATCTCTATTGGACTTAAATATCACTACTTTTAGATTTGGTTTGAGAACAGTCTATATAAAAAAAAAAAAAAGAAAACAACAAAAAGAAAAAAACAACCAAACAAAAAACTCAAATTGAGTGAGGCTAAATAATGTCTTTGGGAGCTCTTTTAGAATTTAAATCAGGACGTGGCAAAATCGCCATTTTTAAAATGTTTCAATCAAGGGATTAACACAGGTGTTAGACCTAAAAAGTGGCTGTATATCCCCAAAATACAGATCCAGTGGCTGCATTGTTGCCTTAAAGAAAACAAAAAAAAAAAGGTGATTACTCCACCACCTATTCCTCCGCGACACAACAGTACAGGCTGCTCCTTTTAAGCAATAATCCCACCATCAAAGGAAAACTATTCAGGTAGATTCTGATCTCCAGCAGGCAACACAATCCCTGTAGTTGCTTGGTCATAGCGATTTTACTCTATTTATCGACACAAAACCTCACAAAATGACCCACAAGATCAGATCTGATGAGTTGAAACGAGTGTAACCACAACAGATGTTGTGTCAAATATATCAAACAGCTGGGGAAGAAAGGAGGGGGGGTCCATACATGACTGACATTCTGTGACCCTGCAGCATTCTGGGTGTAAGAGGAGAGAAAGACAGAGCTGAGGAAGCAAATGATAAGGGTGAGGGAAGCAGGGTAAGTATGACTGCAACAACAGATGATCCTGGTAGGAAGCAAAGGTAGGAAAAAAAGGAGGGAGGATGCTGGTGCTTTGCAGTCGCGATTTGAGCTTCAGGTGTCGTGGAAATCCTTCAGCAGCGTGCGTCGCCTCTGCTCAGCAATGTGCATCTGATTCTCCAAATCCTGCAAAATAAATACAAGATGCTAAAAAACCCACAGTCCTAAACCACTGAAAAAGATGCATATGGAAATAAAGTTATGCATTTTATTGCCTTTTTTCCCCCCACTCATTAAGAGGAACACACCCATGACATTTTTCACATTAGAGAAAAAATTGAGGAAGAAAAAGTTTTGAGTCTTTTCCTCTTGGAGATCATTCCCCAAATGTCAATTTCATTAACTTTTATTTACTCTAAAAATAAATATTTTCTCTCAAAACATTTTCTTCAGTGCAGTTTTGCTTGAATTTAATAAAAAAAAACAAAGAAAATTAGTACCTTTATTAAACAATAAATGATAATAAATCAGCATAATTAAAAAAAATTCTAATACTATTAAAATCCAGAATAAATGATAGATCATTGAAATCCATTTAGAGAAAACATTTGCTTTAAGAGTGGATTTTTCAGTGGGCTTTTCACAAAAACCTCTCTAATGTGAAAAAATTCAAGGTTAAAACACCAAACTATAAATTAGGTGGAAATATTTTATTCACTATAAAAAGACCGTGGTCACTCTTAGATATAACATTTAAATTCAAACACTCATCAATGGCAGATCAAATCATGTTTAATTTACACCCACGTCCTACTAAAGAGTGTTGGTTTGATCAAGAGATCCCAATTCAGGACAATTATTATTTTTAAGGAGGATCAGAAAACTGATGCCATCTACACCTGGATGTCTACCATCTTATAGAAAGGATAATCCTGTTCTATAATATACGCCTCCCCTCTAAGAAGTTATTTTGCACTCTTACCCCTCTATCACTGGCGCTGAGCTCGCATTCTCCTCCTACCACTCCTCTCTCATAGCTGTCAGCCCGCTCCACCTTCCATGAAAGGTTTTCTATCTCTGCTTCCAGCTGGGCCTGCTGGTATTCAAACTGGAAGACAGAACAAGATGTCATTTAAACAGAAACGGTCTGTTTCCCACGAATAACAAGCTTTAATAAGTTAGTATTTGAGAGTTAAAACTAAAACCAGCTTCAAGGAGGCCAGAGGTAGAAAAAAGTGACAGTGATGGCAAGAAAGAAAAAATTTAATAGCTTCAGTTTGAATGAATCCTTCAAGAATCTGGACGATTCGGGGAGCACTTCATTATTTTGTCTCTCACCAGTTTCTTGCGCGGTCCAGACTCCATGTAATAGGCATAAGGGTAGGTGTACTGCAGTGTGTAGCGACACTGGAAACAAAGGACAACTCACTTTAGTGACACTACATAGAACGAGGGGAAGTATTTTAGATTACAGTCTTTCAAAATGAGCCAACTCAGCTAAATCAGCTTTGTGAGATCAACTTTAGCACTTCAACTGGAAAACGAAAACAAATATAAGAGAAAGTTTCACAGCCCAATTACAACACCATCTCTCCTGCTAATCGATCAAAGCTGCCATCTAACATGCATTTATTATTGCTAAGTCACAAGTGGGGAGGATATAAAAGTAGAAAAGGACAAAGGAAAGAAGAATTATGCAGTGTTTAGACAATAAGAACACAGATCAAGTCTGGAAATGGATCTGTACCTTAGCCAGTAGCTTTGCAGCATTATGCAGGTACTGCCAGTCAATCCAAGTTCCCAGATTGTTCATTACCCTCTCCTGGATTTTCTCCTGGATCCTCTGGTACGTCTGAGCCTCTAACTGCAGGGACTTGTTATGATTCTCCCACTTGTAGGTAAAAAAATAAAACAAAGATGAATGAAATACATCAAAAACAAGACGACTCTCTCTAAACCAATGGGTAAAAACTGAACAATAGATAAGGTCCTCAAAGCTTTTCAACTTTTTTCCATTAAGGGTTCAATTCTGGGCACGTTAACATGTTCATGTCTATCTTAAACTTTAAGATAAAAAGTAGAAGGAATGCTTGGGATGATTGCTATAAAGTGCTTTACTGAAATTGCTTGAAAGATCAAATAGAAAGGAGTGCATCTAGAGCAGTTTGATGGTAGATTATCCTTTTTCTCCATGTGGCTGGTCTAAATTGCGACAAAATGCTCTAAGTAATAAAAATCGAGAGAATTTTACAGTTGGGTGCCAACTGGTCAGCTCTAGCAATCCCCAGCTCTGACGTCAGTGTAGTCAAACCTTTTCTCACAGCAACTGTTGAATTGCTAATTGACTTGAATCTTTGATGCCAATCATTATAAATACGTCTGCTGTCTCTTCTACAACTTTAAAGAATAGAAAAGAAAGAAGGAAAGCACCTCACCCTCTCAAAATAGAAGAGGTATTTCTTGAGCGCCTCTCTGGCCTGAGCTTGTTGGCTCTGGTTGACTATATCAGGGTTTTCTTTGTATCGGCTGCACTCATAGTATTCACTGCCATGAGTCTTCCAGTCTCCAAGACACATCCAGCAGAAGTCTATGAGCAGAAAAAAAGCATTAATGGACTCTAGAATATACATCTATGATGCAATACGATTAATAGACAGACTTACCGTGTTTGCACTTGGAGCATTGCTGAAACAAAAGGAGGAGAAATTAATACACCAAAAAGCAGCAGCTGAACTTTAATTATACTTTGTTCAGGACGGCTGTTAGCTTAGGACATGAGATGGAGTCAGAAACATATTTCGTAGTACTTTGTCGGATTTCACTCACCATGTGATTACACCCTCCATTCTTTTCGATGCAGATATTGCACTTTGGACACTGGGGAAAAATAAATAAACGGATTATTATCTCAAACCTTGTCGGATAATCACAGTGGTAACATTATATAGAAAGACATTGGCCATCTTTTCCAGTACACAGTATGCATCTGGTGCATGAAAATAAAAAGCAGTCAGAAAGTGGCTTCGTGTGCAGCGATCGTACATCTTTAGTGTGTGCGCTGATGTAGTTTGCAGTCTCTGAGTCATCGGCACATTTAGTCAGCCATTTACGAATTGTTGCGCAGTCTGTGGGCGCGTGGTACATCTGGCGGCATTTGAAGCTGGAAGACAGAAAAAAAAAAGTTGCATTTTAGCTGAAATTTAGAAATGTCACAGAAAAACATTGATGGATTTTTTTGTTTTTTTTTTTTCCGTACAAATTAGATGATTGACTAATTTGTACTAAAATCTTCCGTTAAAGCTTGGTATTCAAACAAGTCTCCGTGTTTCGTACCAGAAGACTTCACTGCAGCAGCTGCACTGCACTCTGCGCGCCCTGGGCTCCTGCACCTTGATGACAATGGGACAGTCTGCACCCGGACATAACTGCAACTGGAAGTGACTCTGTGGAACAAGAACATAAGGAATGTTATTTGAACATACTAACAATTTCTGTGGTTAAGCCAAGTCTACAGTAACTATTTCTGGGGGAATGTGCTTAATATTTACATCAATTGTTGATCTAATTGTTGTTGGCATAAAATAGACAGTGAATTATCAAAGAGTGAGAGAACCAGTCATTCTAACATTTCAAATAAGAAGCCATCATTTGTATAAATCTGTAGACAAACTGAGTAAGATGTTAATACATCTATTGCAATTCCGATTTGATAAAGCATCAAGCAAGCAGATTCAGCACACAGACAAACAGATAATCACACACCTCGACATAGTCTCTGAAGAGGTAGCGTCTGTATTTATCCTTTAGCTCCTCTCCTGGCAGCAGTGGGAGGACAAAGTCTTCTGGCATCTGCAGCGAACAGTCCTGAGCCATACATGAGATACCTGTAAACACAAACATTTTTATTAAAAGACTCAAAGCTTTTTAAAGCTAAAATTTGAAAGTATAACCGATAGCTGAGGTAAAAGGCAACAGATCAAAGCAAAGTACTCAAATGACTTCTTTATTCTAAATCACATCCGAATCCCACAAACCCTTTTAATGGGATTTTTTAGTTCATGGACACACAGTGGTGTCTAGTGAGGCATCTTTTTAAAGTATTGTTTAAAAATATAATTTCTAATTTAATCTGTAACCTCTTTATAAAATCCACTTTGCAAATTAAGAAGATGGTAAGAAGTACAACTGTGTACATCCTCTTATGACTCTAAATACAGCTGTTCTGGGAGGATTTAGGGAAGCTGGTCAGAGTTCATAAGAAAATGGAGCTAAACTGATGGAAATCCTGAAATAAAACTTCCAAAGGAAAAAAAAAGCTTTTTAAATGAATGCTAGACTGCTTCTGATCAAAGCATATTATTGTCCTCACCTGACCAGACAGACTGATTTACACAGGGCTTAAGTCAGCCTGGTAAGCCTCAAAACTCTCCTGTCTAAAACAGAGCAGACCAATCACAGCGCGGAAGGCGGCCCATAAAACAACAGAGCTTTCCTATAACAATAACAGCAAAGACTGCAACAGAGAAATGTTTTAATAATGCCCCTTATTAAGTCCAAAAAAGAGCTGTTTATCTCTTAAGTTTCACCAACTTGCTGCATTAAAAAAAAAAATAAAAAAAAAAATACAATTTTGCGTCATATCCGATTGGTTCTAAACTGTTTCTGCTGATTGTTGGTCTTCCCTGTGAAATAAGGCTCTACCCGCCCCTTTTCAGACCGATATGCTATCAATGGCACATGTCATTATGTCTAGGCTAGGCTGGAATATAACAGAACAGAATATCCCTTTATTGTCCCAAAATGTGGAAATTCTGGTGTTTACGGCAGCAAAAAGATTATAGGAAAAAAAATGGTCACACAAATGTGGACCTTAGAAAAATGTATAAGAATAACATAATAGTGAAAAGTTAAAAGATAAATAAAATATTGTACTGTTAAGTGTTTTAACAATACAAAAATGTGCACCTGGAGAATAAATAACCAATATCCAGCTATGGACATTTTTACAGTAATGGATATTTGAAAATAGCAGCAACATCAGAGATGTGCAAAATGACAGCAGCATGTTAGAACAGTAGCTTGAATAGAATAATAAAATCTGCTCCTAATTCCCAAGGAGAATCTTTTAAAAGACTTAAAAATTATCCGCAACAGATGGTTTCTAATTTGACTGACATCATTAGATGTTGGCTGTGGAAGGAAAAAACAATCTGATTTGTAGAGGTAACTGCAGGACAAGGTGGTTCTATAAACTATTAAGATTGGGCTGACAGATAAAAAAAAGAAAAGAAAAAAAGTCATATTTTAAGAAATTCCCTCCTTCACCCATCAATGTGCTACTTTTAGCTGTTTCATTGCATATAATCTTCAAAACACTCATTAAAATTTCACATAATATCACAAAATATAAAAGACAGGTTCATGTTTATGAACACTACTTAAAGCCTGGTGTAAAGCAAAGATAATCAGCTCTAAGATAAACTAAAAAAAGCACCAACTAGGTAAATCTGCACCAGGGGGCAGTGATTGGACATAATGCTGTAGAGAAGCTGCAACTTAATGGTTTGTTATTTAGTAAACGTGATAAGCAACCCTGGAAGATCCCTACTGTTTTGCTTGGTTTAAAAAAAACAACCTGGTTTTTACCTTTAGCATGGACTGGGGTTGATGGTCATTTAAAATCTGTCCTTGTTGCAGCCAAAACAGACAATCGTCTGGCTTAGACCAATGTGTTATTCTATATTTATCAGGGAGGTCATAAAAAGAAGAATGTTTGATACAAATAGGCTTTAACTTCAGGAAAACAACAGTGTGTGTGTGCATTACTAAAGTGTACGCAGTTTACCACAGAGAACATTGCACAACTTTAAACCCATCTATGTGCACGCCTACACACTCATTTGCTGACAAGCACTTTCACACGCTGATTTTCATCAGGCTGCTGCAACAGCACGCTTGCCTTGTAAAGTTAAATCCAGATGGTTCTCAACAAATCTCCACTAAAAGCTAAAATATTTTTTATATATTTTACTTGACCACGTATGAAGAAACCTATATTAAAAAGAAAACTGCAGAAATGCATATGACGAGCAGAGCATTTGGACAGTGTCTGTATACTCAGAGAGACATAACCTTTAACCCAAAACACAAACAGAATGACTCAGCCCAACAATACAAGCAGGATGACAGGAGAGATACGCTCTCACTCACCCACTCCCATGCCATCTTTGACGAGTACGGTGCAGTGCTGCTCCCAGCATGCTTTACAGAAGGAGTGCTGACAAGGCAGGGCCAGCAGGGAGTCCCTCCGTACGACCTGTAGACACACACCACACTGGAGGGACTGAGGGGCCTGAAACACAGAATAAAAGGTAAACACATGCAGTCCTGGTAGAGGTCTTCTAATACTTATCTTAATATATGCTAATATTTCATAAAAGCTGATTAGGGTGGATTTCATCAATCTGTTCTGATCGGCCTTCCTGTTATTGGTTGTAAATGCTGCTCTCTCAACTACAGACAAGTTTTCCAATACCATATAATCCCTGTGCTTCTTTAAGTCCCTCATTGATTCTGAAAACCCTTTAAGCCGGGCATACACTGTGCGTTATTTTCAATCATTGCACGCAGCTACTGCTTAAACTATACGACAAAGCCACAGGGTTTAAAAGTACATAGGTCACGATGCATGGTCTCACACTGTGCAGCCTGACACTCTGATGCGATCTTACGACGGCCGATAGAATTTTAAACATGTTCTATCTTCTCTTGACCTTACAATTCCTGATCGGGAGGTGGTCATGTGAGGCTGATCGCCCTTCGCTACCCCTTGTAAACTACACAACACAGGACACACGATGAGGCTGAAACACGACCTGAACTCAAAAAACTCTCGCACGACTGGAGAATCAGCCCGAAAAGCGGGGGGAAAAAAATCGTACAGTGTTTAAAACTCATGTTAGAGTTGCCTTATAGCAGTAAAGGTTTACTAATACCATTTGGATTTGTTTATGCTTGACACCTCCGTGGGATTTTGACAGCTTCACGGCCAAATAACATAACTTAGGCATCCAAGAGCGTCTGCGCAACCCAAATTTGCTGCACATCTAGGATTATATCAGCAGGTTTGTATACAACTCTTAGAAATAAATTACTGTCATTTTTGGATGATAGGAGGTATTGAATGCTGGAAAGAACTTTCTTTGTACTTCTACATGTAGTGTGGTGTTGTAATCCTACTGTCTGTGCTCTACACTCCCCCCTAGAGTCTAACAGAATATAAGGTACATCGGGGAAAAGCAGCAACAAGTATAGATGCCATAAAAACAGTTTTAACTGCATGCCTTGTGTCTGATTTTCATGCAGAAAGTTGATGAGTCAAACAAAAACCAAGCTTAACTTCTACTAACAGTAATAATAATGATACATCTAGCACCTGAAAAGACCAATCAAAAAAAAAAAAATGCAAAAAGTATATTCTTTCCATAAATTATACACATAACTAGACAAAAAAAAAAGTGCAACAGCGAGACAACAGCTAAAAAGAAAGAAGTCATACTCACAGTGGCTATTCTGCATGTGCTGCTGGGCTGGACCAGAGCGTCTGACAAAAGCTGAGAAGAATTGGACTTACAACTGTATCAAAAACAGACAGAGAAAGGATAAAAAGGAAAATCAAAGAGAAGAAATAATATAATTTAAACAGAACGCTGCTCTCACAAACTAGTTTATGCTATTGCATAGCTTTAAAGGACTAATGTGTGAAAAGCTTTCTGCACTACAAAGTTTCTTTCAGCTGGAAAAATATTTAATTTTTATCACTTCAAAGGTCACAAATGCTAAAAACAGTGAACGCCATTAAATATAAATCATAATACAAAATAAAAGGCTTGAAAAGTCATGAAATAAAATATAGCAACCAGGATAATTAGAAACAAATTATAAGAAGAAAATCTGAGTGACTCAGGATACATGAGAGATAAATCACCAACAGAAGGAGGTATGAAAGAAAGGCAATTCAGTCTGGAATGAGAAGTTAGTTAAAATAAATGAATAAAAGACATACGCGTCCAGTATTTGTGCAACCTGCCACTGGAAATGCACTAGGATCAGTTTTGCTACCGATGGTGAAACCTGCAAGAAAAACAAAAAAACAAATTATGGTTTTAATTAGGACGGAAACAATTAATTGGATTTATCAACTTTTTTTAGTAATCGATTAGTCTGCAACTGGAGTATAGAGATTGCAAAATATGCCTTCAGTTGAAAGCAACACAAACTGAACAGTAATTATACCAAAATTATATAAAGAAAAAGAAGTATATCTCATTAATTTTTTATAATTTTTATAAATTTTTTTATTTTTCGGTGTAACAATAAACATATACCGAACCGAACACTGTGACCACGAAAACCGTGAACCGAAACGAACCGTGGATTTTGTGAACCGTTCCACCCCTATTATAATATTATATATATATATATATATATATATATCTATCTCAACTTCTAGGACACCCTAACATTTGACAGACTTGCATTAGAAGGAAACGACCCCCGAACACACCGCAAAGACAAACTCCAGCATGCAACCTGTGTTTGTGTGAGAGAACAAAGCTCTGCAATGCAGAATGGAACATGAGTCAATAGATTCACCAACAGTAAACATGCTGTGTTTATGTTGTTACTGAGAGAAGCAGTCTTGGGGTTAGCCATTTTGAGGTATGAGAAAACCGATTCTAAATAAATTCAGAGAAAGAAAATAAAGGTGAGCAGCTGTCTAAAAACAAAACTACTTTCTAGCACATCTGGAGGATCGTCTAGGACTGGGTTTTTTAACCCTGGTCCTCAAGGCACACTGCCCTGCATGTCTTGGATGTTTCCAGACTGTCACACACCTGATATCAATTGATAGCAAATTAACACATTTTTTTGGAACTCCAGTTATTGGAATCAGGTGTGTTGAAGCAGGTAAACATCTAAAACATGCAGGGTAGTGTGCCTTGAGGACCAGAGTTGGAAAACACTGGTCTAGGAGTCAGACTGCGATGGAGCAAACCTTTGAACCCCTGTCACACCTTGCCGATTTAATGCTGGTTTATGCTCAGAAACTAGGTCGTCTGCATTATGTGTCATGGTGGACACAAATGTGCTCCCACCCCTTCTGCAGACACTATGGTGCACCTCTCCAAAATTGTAGGTGACCACAGACAGTGCCGCAGACAGGAGGCCTCTGATTGGTCAAATCTACCTCCGCTCTACACTATGCATATTTCCTGTTTGGTACCTTACTGGCTTGTTTTGTTTGTATGACCGCCATTGTGGAAAACGACTGGTGAAGATGGACAAGCTAGAAGAGCGAGATACGTGGGAACGCTGGGACCCTTTTTCCACCTGGATCCCCGCTCTATTTCGCCCTCATGTCCCTTCCTCGGTGCCTCGGCCGTATCTAGACCCACAGCTAGTTCATGATTCTCCCTCTTGCGATGTGGCATGGAATAACATAGCACAGACCACGCTTCAATATTGGGCTTAAATCAAAAATATCTGCGACAAGCTCACTGGGACAAACTGCTGCAGGAGTGTAACCAGCCCTTCAGCCAGCATGTGCCGGACATACGGAAAATCTGGGGAAAAACGCTGGGATACGTTGAATAAGTTATGGTTCAGTTTTGTACAAGTTATGAGCACGCTGCCACACGTCGACATAAGGCAACTACGTTGAGAAATTTTGAGCATCAAATGTTCCAGATGACAGCTCGACGCCTTTCTAACTTACAGCTACTGTTTAATGGCGTATCTGCAGCATTTTAGTATAAGGGTGATGACAGGAGAAAAAATGTTTGTTCTCCTCCAGACGTCATCCCCATCATAGGGTGAGCGTGAAGGCGTGTGTGATGGATACTTCCTGCATTCACGCCCACGGCCAACAAACTTCCTAGCAGACATGGCGCTGAATCTGCTGTGACTGCAAAACCTTTTTTTCTTTTCCTTCTCGTTCATTTATTTATTCTTTTTTTTTTTGCTGGGTGGTAAACAACAGCTAGGTTAATACCGCGATCAAAGACATCTTTTAAAGCAGGCTGGGCGCCTCCAGGCGCATTGCACCCCCCCTCTGGACACTGGCTTGTGACATTTCATGGGTATTATGCTGCTGTGCGTTATGCATAAGTTAGGCTGTTGTTGGACATAAGTTCTGGACTCTTTATGAATACGCTATGCATACGCCCAAAATTGAAAAAATACATAGAAAGCTCTTCGTACCCCAGCGTTTCAGGAGATTCTGGGACATCAGGCATACGCTGTCTAAATTGGCAAGGTTTCACAGGGGCTTTAAATTGTTAACAGTCAGGTTGTAGAAAGTACAGCAGCGTTGCTCTTTCATCCCATAAAGCTTTCAGTTTTGGTCTGTTGTGGAAAATACAGCTTTACAAATCTTTTAAGAACTTAAACTTGAAGGTTCTACATTTTCTAGGAAGTGCACATGGAGTCTGTTGTTTTAGTGACCCAGTAAACAGCTAAAGAGAGTTTTTAAATGTCAGCAGAGCGATTTAAGCTCTACCACAACAAATAATCGGCCCTTTCTGATCCAGCAGTGCAATAATTTGCAGGTTTGATGGAGGGGGGTCTTTAAGATTAACCCAGATTTGTTGAGAGGCCGGGTTATATGCTATACATTACTTTTTTTTTTTTTGCAGTAAAGCAAATTATTTAAACAGAAGTGGAGATAAAAGAAAAATTCAACAAATTCAACACTTTGAATCTGGATACGGCTTAACTGTTTAAAGGAGAAGTCCGGTCATATTCAGAATTAAAACTTCTGAAAGTACTTTAAAAATGAAATTATTAAATACTGTTCAATTAATGTTAAGCGTTTTTAGCTAAGAGTAATTTTAATTTGAATGTGCTTTATCGGAGACATCCATGTTGGTCTACTGCCACTACTACCGATTTGTGACGTCACAGTGTGGTATCGGCTGTTAAGGAAGTCTTCGAAATTTTGAATTCATATTATTAGTTTTTTCTCTGGCCAGAAGTTTGATGGCAAATCCCCCTTCATCAAGTTGGCAATCCAACCCATCTGTGGTGGATCATGAATTGAAATTAATTGTTTAGTAGTTCCCATTGATTTTCCTTGTAAAGCGGGGAGAATAGTGCTCGGCTTACCGCACCGTGACATCACTGCTGGAAGATGTCAGGAGTGAGTTGTTACTATATTTGGGTAAAAATGGCCGATCCTGGACTCAGTTATCGCAACGAAAGTTATTGCTTTTATTCTTATACTGATTATCACTAAATTCATTAAATCACAGAAAAAATATTAGTTTTAGGTGTAAACAATGATCCATTGATCATTCCTTGCTGACCAGACTTCTCCTTTAAAGGCTCTGGAGATTTTGCAGAGGTTAGTTCTTGCTGTGTTAAGAGCCAGCAGGTGAGAATGCTACATTTCTACAGGTTGGTAAAATAAATGAAGGTTGAGGCGTTGAATTATCCATCTTCCTGCCATCCCAGCAGCTAATGACCATTTATTTTAACATGAAAGACTAGATAAACATAATTTAATGAGGGTTTGCTTTACAAAAACTTTTTATTTTTTAGAATTTCTGCACAATCTCTGAAAAAAAATATCTTTGGGGATTTTTTTTTTTTTTTTTTACAATGATGTAGTTAACTGAGCCTGAACTCACCTTCAGAGCAGCAGCAACAGTGTTCACTTCCTCTATCAACACACGCTGGCTCTCTTTGTACGTCAAACAGGTGAACTGGTACTCCTCCGGGTCGAAAGAATCAGCGCCCTGTTGCTCAACGTCATTTGCCACCCCATCATAATAGCCTGCGATATCTCCCTGATCATCTTCCTCTCCTCCGTCATCATCCTCCTCTTCCTCAGAGTTAACCCCAAAGTCTTCCTCATTGCTGTCCGACGCCTGGCTGTTCATGTCCACAGACATTCAGTCGATTGTGCCAATCACCCGGACAGGTAGACAAGTCGCCTACCTGTCGGATTGAAGATGTCCAGTTATGGCTTGAATGGTACGACCGAAACTACCCCCCACCTTTTTTCTTCTTGCCTTTCCACTTTGGTCGCCGTGTGGAGAGAAGCTCCACCCCCCTCCTGTCTGACTGAGGCGCGATGGAGCGCACTCAGCAGCAGCGGAAGAAGCAGAAGAAGTCGCACTCTCCGTCACTCATTTGGAAAACAGCTTCCAGCACAATCTGAAGAGGGTGGAAAGGGAAAAGTTAGAGGAGGGGTAAGAAGAGTAAATTTGAAAAGTGGAAAAGGTTGCATCCCTTCTCATTATGAGGCTTATTAACATACAAACATCTTACTAAACAATATCACATAAGACAATGATATATATTGCATATTTCATATTGCATATTAACACGCCCACACTTAATACATTTTTTTAAACAGATAAAAAAAATCAGAAGTTGGAGAAAAACGTGAAAATATTTCTTTTGAAAAGCTTCTATATGCAGAAGTAAAACAAAAATACTCTGCTTATTCTGAATCAGTATAATTCAAGAACAGCACTTAATTATCTTACAGATACCTCATTAAAACATTCAGACTCTGATTAGGGCAGGTCATGAGCGCAGCAAGTCAACCCAGTCCCGAAACACCAAAATTAGCTCCAGACAGTCACTTTACCGCTATCAAACTAAACACTACTCTAACTTCTTCTTTTTTGAAATTCTGTGTAAGGTGTGTGAGATATAAAGGGATGCACAGCTATTTTAAAAGTTCCTCTTTTAGAAAAGTCCTAAAATTGTTTTGAAACGTCTGCAGATATAGAAGACATGCAAGCATGGATAAATATGTGGAAAAGAAATCTCAGACTCAGAGAAAGGTTTTCCTCATACTTAATATTTAATCCTTTTTAAAATAGTCACGTCAAACAAAGGGAGTCCTGAACTGCATGAAAAAACATGTCGTAAACCTGTTTTTGCTAAAATCCCAGGGGTCATTGAATTTCTGTCTCTGAGTCTCTCTCATATAAAATGCACTGCAGTTGGTCTTAATTATAACTATTACTTTAATTTGTAAATCTGAATTATTCGGAAAACACAGTGCACTGACAATAAAAGTTTTATAGCTGTCAAATAACTAAACCCTCTTATTTAAGAGCCCAATGCTTGCACCAGTGCAGGTTTTACTAGTGAAAGGTTATTTACATAGTTTATAATTTAAATCATTTTTTCCTATAATCAGACCTGCAAGATTTGTGCACCGCTGCTCCAAGACTTCTAACAGCCTGAAATAGATGATACGAAACAGAGCAGAGAGTCTTTAAAGTTTATTCAATTTATTTTTTCATTTCAATATGCACTAACAATAAAATACAACTACATATTTAAATCCAAACTTGTTTTTTTTTGTCTTTTTACATTGCTGGGGCAAAGACTCTTCACAATCTTTTATCTTTGTTTCCCTGAGATTAATCATGTGTTTTTCAGTGGGAATAAACCATTGACCTCAGACATACATGTGAGCTTTTAAAGAGATTATTTAAATTGAGAAACACCAATGGCCTCACCAACATCAGATGCACTTGAGCTAGCAGCTTGTTTTGGACCCAATTTATCAGGAATATAATTTTTTTTTTTTAAACAACAAAACTAAAATAAAATACATGTTCTATTGACTATCCATTATTATTATTAATTATTTGAAGAATGCTTCAGTGAACAGTAAAAGAAAGCTCAGTTGAAATATCTTAGTTCGTAAAAAAAAAAAAAAAAAACCGTTAACGAGGTCAATTGGCAACGAAGTTGAGATATGACTTTGCAGATATTAATCTGGCGAGGAAAGAAGTGGGAAAGCAGCCAGTGGGTCCCGGTGCCCGTCCAGCCAAGGACTAGTGTTCACATTCCGTCCGATCCGAGTTAAAAATAGTCAGCAAAGTGGGTGACACACATCCCGCTGGGCTAATGTAACACAGCGACTCAGAACAGGTTAGATAACAGCTTTTACTCAACTCTATTGGTGGGCTCGGAACGGAAACGTAAAGTGTAAAAACCGATTAAAACATTTAATAAATAAAAAAAGGATAGAGGTTGGTATTTTCAGTCCCATATCGGGTATGAAGTTAAAAGCCCTGAGTGGCTGCCTGGCTGTTAGCAGGGTTAGCTTCAAGGTTAGCATGCTGTAGTTCTGTTCAGCAGTTTCAAGCTGTGCCAAAACCCCAAAACACGACGAGTTACACAAAAGAGGAAACATAACAGGAAGCGTGCGAAAGTTTACAATAATTTTAATTTAAGATGTTAACAAAAAAAAAAATGGAAGAAGAAGTAGCAAGCTCTCCTTCTCATTCCCCTCACCCTCCGCCTCTCACCTACTCTACTCCGGGGACTGAGATGTAAACAAGGCCCGGTGCAGCTCCGGAGTAAACACATCCATTTAAACAGTCGCGGTGTTTGTTTCCAAAGCAAAAATCCAGGCGATAGTTACCTCTCAGAGCAGAGCTGGCTCGGCCTGCTGGGACAGCAGACAGCTGGTTTTGTGTGGGGAAATCCTATAGAGCGATTTTCACTCTTTAGCTTGGCTCCAAGGCGGAAGAAGGATGGTTGCAGAGGTGCTTATCAATTACGTCACTTCCGCCTTTGCTCCCCCCTGTAGGATCTCCTCATTTTATTCTAATCCAATAAAAACAAAGAAGCCTAAAGCCTAAACTTTAATTCCTAAAACTCGAGAAGAAATAAACATAGAGGATTTCAGTCCAGTAATAAGCAACAAATAAACAAATAAAAAGTGAGAAAGAAAGAGAAAAACAGACATATATTGCCATCTCTGAATTAGATTCATGATAACAAATCAGAGAGACACGTTAGATTAAAAATATTGATCAAAGTGTCTTTTTTAAAAATGTGTTATTAATTTAATAAATTAATTCCATAGTTATAATAAAAAAAATAATCCAAAAAATATTTGGAATATTATATAAGGCAAATTATACATAAATCTTTCAATAACTTTTTATAGCATTCCTTGTTTCTGTGATATAGTACATAATG